GAAGAGCAGGACAAGCACTGATAACAGTCTTCAGTACTCTTCCCCAGACTCTAACAGTTTTCAGATTAGGGATTCTGAATCACTTGTGGATTTAATAATTCTAAAAGATTTCTTTTCTATGCACTTTCCAGCCTCTCCCTGAACTAATGCAAACTTTTAGCATTGACACTTTGGCCTCACAAGTCTAACACCAATTGTACGAAGTACCACCTCCTTTGTTTTGAAGCTGGCTGCTATAAACTGCATTTTACACCTTCCAACTTGGGAAACAGACTTTGGCTACCCTGTTTGTGCTAGTCGTGCTTTAATGAATCTCTGTCACATATCCCCCTGGTTCCCTTTTCCACAGACTGCTTGTCGCTTTATCTGAGTAGCAGACTAGCTTTTCCCCATTCAGAAGCCATTTTCACATCCTACTAGACAAAAAACTACAGATTTATGAGTCCGTCCTCTGGCATAGCATTACCTCAGAATTGTATCTTTGACGTTTTAAAGTATACTTTATGGCCTTGCAAGAAAAGCCTGAATGCAGTTTGTGGAATGAAGTCTTCCTAACAGGGAAGGAGAGACATTTTGAGATGTATGAACTACTGCATGCATCTCACTGGAGAGTTCCCAGAAATAGTGAGGGCTTCCCAGCATCGCAAGCAACATGAAAGCAGAGAACAGCAGACAGAGCCCTTTCCAAGAGAGGTGCAGCCTCACTGCTGGACTTTGTGTCAGGGTGCCTGGCTGTGGTTGTTACCTTTTCAGAGAATGGGAGAAAGAGGGAGAGAGATTCACTCCAGAGCTAAGACTAAGCACTGCTGCTCTGCCTTGGATCTTTCTAGGGGAAAAAAGGGGGGGCCTGTGCCATCATCCTCCTTGTTTGAGCATTTGAGGGACTCTTGCTTTGCTAGCTGAGAAAAAACAAAGAGTTTCCCAGTGAGATACTGTGCCTAGTGCTCTAAATTGTCATACATCAATGTCTGTCTCTGTGTAGAAAAGAAAGCTGTGTCGCACCGCGCGTTAACTGTACATAGTTATGGCTTTTACTTAGGGTCTTAAATCTTTCTCTTTTTTGTGTGTGTCTTTCTGTCACCAGTGTGTGGATTTTCCTTCAGTCCTATGGTAATTTCAAAAATATCTTATACACAATCCTTTGCAAGTATGTGCTTTTGCACACTCAAAACAGACATGTCCACTAAAGACAAAGAATGACTGTGAAATTGCAAAGCATTTTTTTCCATGAAACTTCAGGAGTCAGTTGCTAAGCTTAGTAAATGCTAAATGCTTCTTTTAGGACTGACACAAAATGCTTGATACTGGTTTTGACCCTTCCGTTTGTCTGTCCTTTAATATTTTGCTTTCCTCCTCAAAAATGACATATTAATAAAATAAAAAAAAGAAAGGCTGTCTTTCTTTCTTTCTTCCCTTGTTTTTCTTTCCTGAAAACTGGCTGTAGCCTTTCTGCCTTCTGCTTGCACAGTCCACTGAGCAATAACACAAGTCCTTTTTATTCCCAAGTGGGAAGGGAGAGCTGGAACTCTGAGTCTTGCTGAAGTCTGAGAAAGGAGACTTCTTTTACAGCTTGCAAATAAAAACCTGCTACTGTGAAATACAAAAGTGTTTTCAAACAGGAAGAAGAAGAGGGTTGCCTTACAGCTCTGTGCTGTACTCTGCTGCTGCTGCCAAGTAGTTTTCCCAAAATGGAGTGCAGCACAGGCGGGACAGAACTTGGGAATGGTGTGTGGGTTAGTTTGTGGGGAAAAGAGGAGCACACAGCACCTTTTCCTCTCACTTTTACGGCTTGAATGAGGTCATGGCTTTTGGGAAGGAAGCCACGCACCTCTCCAGCTGGCTGGCAGCCTCTCTGCCTGTCTGCTGTAGAGTGGTAGCCCTGCAGCAAGATCTTGGTGACCTACCTGGGCAGCCGTGAATGCCAGGCTAAGGCATGAGAGCCAGGATTGTTGAACCTTGCCGGGCAAGAGGTGTGTGTCACAGCTCATGTTTCCTGGTACATGTTTTGTGCTTCTCTCTCCTTCTGTGAGGTTGCAATAACAACAGACCCACTTGTGTTGAACTATAGAAATTGGTAATATTCTATTTAATGTTGAAAGTGCTAAAGGCTTCTGTTGTGGCAAGTTCTTTGCAAGCTTTTGCAGTTCTAAGTACATGACACTGTTGTCTCCAATGTTGTGCTGCCATTAGCAGACTTCCCATTACATAATGTTGACCCATATTTGTGGTATGTGACATTTTTTGCTAAACACTGTCAGGGATAATCCGTCACAGAACAAACTTTCTGATTAGACTCTAAGACTTTGTCATCCCTTAGCACAAATGTAACCTGTGTCTCAGACAATGCTATTCCTTGTTAAGACAGGTAGAGTACAGTTCTGTCAGGTAAGAAAAACACTGACAGAGTATCGTGTGCTTTGAGACCAAAATACCTAGGACTAAATTCACCGCAGAATGATTGCACAGAATCACATCTGGGAGTAATTTGAGCTTTAAAAAATGTTGAGTCCTAGCCCAGGTGATGGGAGTAGTGATTGGCTGAAGGAAGCATGAAATCTGAAGTGTGACTCTGCAAAATGCTGTCTCAGGCAGGTCCAGCTCGTTTCATGCTTCAGGAAAGCGGAGCTGTTGAAAAGGTTTCTCTGCTCTACTCTTCCACTGAAGTCTGCCAGTATTTGTAGAGTAACCAGTCTTTTCTTAAAAAAAAAAAAAAAAAAAGGGTAATGTTGTGGGGAGATAAATAGATATAGCTCAGGCAGGGATTATTGCTAAAAGGCAGGTGAGAAATGAGAGGCCTTGGAGGAATAGGAACACCCCCAAAGCCGTCTGCTTTCAAAGAGCTATGCAAAATCCATCCGTTCTTAAAAACCTGATTTCAGTTGCATAGAATAAGAAGTAGAGGAGAGGAAGGTGTACAAAATAGAGGCAGAGAGAATACAATGGCAATTCTCTCAGTATTCAAGAAAAGGGTCTGCTTCAAATGGACTTTATATAATGTTGTAGGAAAGAAGTAACAAGATTGTGTGAGCTGCTGGAGTGTCTGCCACATTGTGGAAAGGAATGAATGTGGAACATAAGGCTGAGAGACTAAATACACTGTCTTCAGAGAAAGAAATTTTCCAGCCTTACGTAGGAGATGACTGTGTGCTAAGAACAGTTGCACTATCAAGGAGAAAGGTTTTGCTTCTCTGCAAGGAATTAATGCTTGTCAGAGCCAAAATTAAACCTGATGAATGCGGTCTCACCCACTTTAATTTCTTCCCTCTCAGATTCTACATTTGTCCTCATTCTGTCTATGCATTCATTCATATATTCCTCTCCCTTCCCACCTCCCCATTGACTCACACTCTCCCTCCCGGTTTGTTATCGCTTCCTTTCCATTTTCTTTAGGTTTCCTTCCCACTCATTCCCTTTCTCCTCTGCCTGACCCCTCTGCACACATTTTCCCTTTGTGGTGAAAACACAGCAGAGAGACAAGGAGGAGGGGAAAACAGAAGATGAGCAAGGAAAGGAGGGGGCAAAGAGTAGACGGTGTGGGAAGGGTGCTCAGCGTTGCACTTTCTCCCATGCTTCACTACTGATTTTTGAAGGTGTACTAGGAGTCAGGGCTCCTAGAACCTGTTCCTTTCTCCCAGTCAGCAGCACTTGGCAGTGGCTTTGTGAAAGGTAATGCCAGAGCTCATTTCTTCAGGTTACTGAGGAAGTAACCCTAGAAGCCATGATAAAGAATAGAATAATCCCAAAACCCAGTGGAAAGCCACGTCTGAGTGACAAACATCTGGCTGTGCATGGAGCTTGCTACTGTGTTGGATCAGTGAGGATTGGGAGGAGAGTGGGTGGTCTTGGGGCTCAAAATGGGAAAAGGGAACTTTAGGGACTCTGTGGACTTGTTGGAATGTGGTGCTGAGCAAGAAACACTGCAGCCTTAAGCCTGTTGGGGGCCAGTGAGCAATGAGCTGGTGTTTCTCAAAGCAGCTGTTTCTGGTGTCTCAAAACTGACGGCCAAATGTTGCCAATTTCGGTTAAGTGAAACAACAGAGGGGTGCCAGGAATGCTTATTGTAATGAGTGGCAGGAAATGGGCTGAAACCAGTTTATCTGGAGACTAGTGTTCCCATTTGAGTACAATGAGCTCGATCCCAAAGTCAGTCTGTAACCTGGAGGAAGAGCTACACTCTAGCAGCCCCAGAAGCTGCTCCTTCGTTCACCTTCCGGCCCTGTGGTGAGAAGAGACCCTAGTTATCACTCCCACCCATGGTGAAGGGCTGCACAAGCTTGCATTTCTTCTCTTACTACTCTTTATTTAAATTTTCTCCTTTTTTGGCCCCATTCTTGTTCCTGAAAACTGCTGAGATGGAATTGTTTCTCCCCGATTGCAAAAAAAAACCAAAAATCACCTTACTCTTCACACAAGCTGGCAGGAGTAGCAGCGGCACACGCTGCGGGTTATTTCTGCTTCCCACAGAGGAGCAGGAGGGAAGCGAGCAGGGCAGGCAGCCCGGAACCATCACTCCTGTACCCTGTCCCACCTTCTGCCGCCTTTTCTTGTTCTGTCAACCTCACAACGGCTCATCTCTCCTCCGTCAGACTCTGGCATAACTGCAGGATCAGAGCCAACACGCGCGGCCCTTCCCTGGCGGTTCAGTCTGACGGATGCGCCGTGCGCCCGGGGAAGGGGAGTCGGTAACGGCGGGCCGTTGGGTTCCGGCGCTGGCCCGCCTCCCCTCAGGCCCAACCCGCACCGCCAAACGCAACGGGCCGCGGTGCGGGGGCCGTGCCCCGTGGGTGCAGCCCAGCCCGGCTGCTCCCGGGGTCGGCACCCGGCGGGGTTCGCCCCTCCTCACCCCCGGGGCGGCCGGGCTGCGTGAACCCCGGGCGCGGGGAAAGGAGAGGAGCGGAGAGGCGAGGCGAGGCGAGGCGACGGGCAGG